TGTGAACTGTTAAGTAAAGCTAACGGCACTTATGTACAAGGATAATTTTATTACCGAAATGCAATTGTCCGAATGAGTATTTGACTAACGGAAGTGAGTACAGAACCGATGGCTGTCGAGAGCCTATAATGTGTGCAACGACTGTGTGTGATTGACTATTCGCGGTTGACTACTTGTCTGTGTGATTCAATGTGCTGTCAACAGTGGTGGTGATTTCCTCCCGTTGGTGATTTCTCATAATGTTGGAGTTTCCACACTTGTAGCCTTATCAGAGTCAGCAAGTACACGTACATGTATCATTTTGAATCGTTACGATAAAATAATTAATTTCCGTTTGCTCTGTCAGGTATCATGGATAATGTTATTCCAGAGATAATTACTATTAGATCTTCCTAGAGCCCCAGAAAATTTTTGTTATTCATTTGTATCTTTGTAACGAACATGCGCGTTTTACATGTATCAAATAATTTAATTTCACCGCTAGAACGTAATATTATTAATAATTGTTGCCACTACTAGAATGATTGGTCTTGACCCAATCTAAATCATTGTATTGTATCGAGGAATAATAAATTTTAGACGAACATTAGTTTGTTTTATTTCGCGAAGAAAGTCGTTTAATGGAAAGAATTAATTCGGGAATGATGGATTTCTGTATGGATAACGCGGAACCCGTTGGTTTATCGAAAATGTGAGGTTTTCAAACTTCTCCACGCATCCAGTTCCCTGTATCGGATAGTTTCAAAAAGCCTCTCCAGTGGTAATTAATTTTGGACCAACTAAGCTCGTAGGTGCTGCAATTCAAAGGTTCGCCTGGAAAGTGAGGAGAATAACCGGCGGAAAATCAAGAATTAATACGTGGCGAGGAAAAACTCGGCGGCTCGGAGTTCCGAGCAGGGTTAATGTACAGTCAGAGTTTGTTATTTTTTAGTTCTTTATCAAAATACTGTTTCGAGCCGGAACATTCTCCAACTTCGGTCGATGGCAAGACAAGTTATTATTTCCGGCCATATAAATTCACAGCCCAAGTGCATGCATTTTGAGCAAACAAATTCGTGCCTACGCATAAGCAAATTCCATTAGACACGCCACTTCTTAGCAAGGCGACGGTTTAAGGCCCTTCAGATAACGGGACGCCATAAAACAATAAATCAGTTTCGAACCGGGAACAGTCCTCGCGCCAAGCGAGAGGGTTCTTTAGGTAAACAGGGTCCTATTGAAATCGGGACACTCGGCCCAAACCGAGGCCTCCCACATAGCACACTGGCCAACTACTTTACGAGCTGTCAAGGAGTGTCTCGAGTTACCAAACTCAGACGACTTTCCTCGCCAACAACAGGAACAGTTCCTTGCAGTCAAGGGCCAATATATCTTTCCTCAAAGAAGTTCCTCTCCTTAGCTACAATCTGTTTACCAGCCGATGCACATGTCCATGACTCCAATACATTCCGGCTAACAAAGGCCCTCGGTCGCACACACCGAGCGACCAATGAGATGCATTGGTCTTTTGGCCAAACCCATCAACAGACCAAATCACACCAGTGATTGGACCTCCAGATTCCTTCCAAAACTTAGTCGATCTTGGCATGCAGGGGGAGGTCTCGATAGTCCAATCGGTGTGCTCTAGCGCGGCAGCGACCCCTGAGTGGTCCCCGTTGTTAGACACAGCCGCAACTCGACCACCCTCAAGATTGCATGTTGACCGGTGGGACAAATCTCGTCTAGTCTACCAAAGGATCTCTCTCGTGAAACACATAGCGAACAGACGAACCATCGTCATCAAGCGTCCTAGTTTCAATCGTTAGAGATCGACCACAGACGCGAGACTGTCCCACATCCATCTCTGATCCAGAAACATCAACCACATAGAAACAACCTTATCCTCTCCATCACCCTATCAGGTCGTGGAGACGCACTCGAGTCGTGGAGAGAAGATTTACAACCTTCGACGATCCGATCGGCCAACGTGACGGTCACTCCACCCTCAGTGCGGAACAATACACTTGAAATCGTGAAATAAAATTAGCTTCATTCGATTGTTTTGCTCTCTATGGCTAAAAAACAGCAGTATTGGAAAAACTGTAATCCGATTAATAATTAACGATTATGCATAATGTACAAACGAGCCAGCGACAAATTATTGTAATTACTAGGTAATCTGTAACCACGATTAATGTATAATGCGAGTATTCAAAGCGAATGTAATCACCAGACACGATTAACTCATTAATCATTCATCGTGAAATGATTATATTACGATTGATACAATAAGCACGATGTAATCGAAATAGATTTTCGGGGAAAGGAATACAATCAATTAAAACGTGATAATACGGTATTTGAAATATATTTTAATCGATGTAAATAGCATTTAATATTGTGCACAAAATATGGAGGTCTGGATTCTATTATTAGTTTTAATAATAATTGAAGTAATTTATCTATGAATAATGACAAATTACTGACTTATGATCGCTGATTACTCTCATCGATGGTTATTTGATTAATAATTCTGATTATCAGTTTGTTTTCCCTTTGTTATCGAGAAAAGAATCAATTACTGCCCAACATTGTTGTACATTTATTATTTACTTAGATTGACGAAACAAAATGTTCGATTAGCATAACAAATTCACGTATGTATTTCGATTCACCGAAAAACACACTCTCTTATCGAATCGGAATATCGAATCACGGGGAGCACGTGGAACAATCGAGCCAACGATCGCGCAAAATTCTCAACAAATCCGGTTACACGAATCAAGCGAACAATGGCCTCATTAACCTGTTCTCTGTCGAAGTCGTCATTTTCACGTGTTGCGAATCATTGGTAATAAAGAGTTAAAAAGAGCCAATTACCCGAATACAGTATACTCTTATAGAATATCCTTTCAACTATCGAAACGTTCTTCTATTATAATTAACACTATTTCTGATTAGTTTATCATTATTCATGCTAAATGTTCATTTTCTCGAGAAACAAAGACTCGCAATCAGTACGAGAAAATGTTAATCTTCGTACGCTGTCGAAGTCATGGATAAAAACGTTCAACTTGCGAATCACGTGTGGGGTTCATTTAAAGAATCATTGCTTCGAACTCTGTTTTCTCGAGAAACAAAGATTCACAATCAGTACGAGAAAATGTTTAACTTTCCTACGTTGTCGAAGTCGTGGATAAAAACGTTCAACTTGCGAATCACGTGTGGGGTTCATTTAAAAAAGCATTGCCTCGAACTCGGTTTTCTCGAGAAACAAAGACTCACAATCAGTACAAGAAAATGTTAATCTTCGTACGTTGTCGGAGTCGTGGATAGAAACGTTCAACTTGCGAATCACGTGTGGGGTTCATTTAAAAAATCATTGCCTCGAACTCGGCTTTCTCGAGGAACAAAGACTCACAATCAGTACAAGAAAATGTTTAACTTTCCTACGTTGTCGAAGTCGTGGATAAAAACGTTCAACTTGCGAATCACGTGTGGGGTTCATTTAAAGAATCATTGCATCGAACTCGGTATTCTCGAGAAAATGTGCATCGTCGTGGCGTTCACGCGTTGCAAGTCATTGGCAATTAACTCGCAGGAGCAACATTGATAAGCGACAGGGGTTGGGGGGTGGCGAGGGGCGAAAAGAGAGAGACGAAGAGCTGGCGAAACTCAAAGGTTTCGGCATCGGTGGCGTTGTAACGACGCGGAAACAAAATCGTATATTGTCGGCCCGTGTTAATTACCACGAATGGCTTTGCCCTGGAAAACCATTCTCCTCTTTGCCTCCCCCGCTGTCGGTTTCTCTCGGTCACCGGCGTCACGGGCCATTTTTTTCCCCTGTGCTCCGCCTCGCTCCGCGCCCGCTATAAATTTCAACCAGAGTATTTTCTCTTTTACGTGTACCTGTTATTGAACGAGAGAACTGCCAATAACGCCGGATAACTGCGTCACGTTTCGCCGCGAGGTCCCGTTCACCCTCGCCACTTCCCAACCGCCGCCCCCGCAACGCTGCTGTGACTTTCTCCACCCGCTGCGCGTCCCTTCTTCCCTCGATATTTCTAATATCGTACGACATCGGGACACGTAAATTACCCCCACCCCTCCCCGGGAGTTTCGATACAGTGTTTGGTTTCAGTCGTAGCTTCCCACCCACTCTTTGCTGTTTTTCTTTTTGTCGGCGCGCTGCTGATGTTTTCTCGATATCATTTTTTAATAAAGATATTTTCCTTCGCTCGTTTTATCGAGCAAGTATTTTGTCGCGTCAGGGACGGCTCAAAAGTACAGTTATGATGTAAAATTATGATGTAATATTTATGATTTAATTCCATAATAATATAGCAGAGAATGGTTGGAAGATTGATAGATATCGCGAGGGGGGCAGTATCAATTTCAATTTTATTTCCCCCGCTGTTATTGAATACAACAGAGAGGAAGTATTGCTATCGCTCAAAACTTGACACCCCTGCGTTCTAAAAAATTATTAAAAAAATGTAAAAACAACGGTCACAATATTCTATATGTATATTGACGTCAGCTTCATTTTATACCGGTTCGTCAAAAAATCATTTATACGGTGATTTCTAATATAGTGCATTGATACCATTGAATATTTGGAAGATACATTTAAATAAAGGTACCAAATTTCATTTTGTTACATGAAGTAACACTGGCAGATGTAGTGTAAAAACTAAGTCCCATATTTCTCAATCATTATTATACACGAAGAAAGTTTATTCCCATATATGGACAGTGACAAATAATACAAGACTGTTCTCGGCAGAATAGTTTCAAATCAGGACCCTTTTATTAATTTATTACAATTGTGTTTCGTGACACACCCCATTGCATACCTGTTAGGACACATTGTAACGGCAGGTTAGAATCGTTCGTACAATTAAACGTTAATTACGGGTGCAATTAGGATGACTGACGACCATTTTGATGAATATCAAACTGTTCCCTCGATGTAACATCGGTGCGGTCGTGGGAAATGATACAGATAGCGAAGCAAATGATCATTCACGGTCCTCGGTGAAGTACTCCAAGAGGCTCTCCGAGCATTCCGGAAATAAACTGTCGCAGCTCCTGGCTGCTTGTCGTCCCATGATTTCAGCAGCGCGATATACTCGATCAAAGTCAGTCCTGAAAGGCTCAGAAGTGGTCGACGGCCTGAAATGCAAACGAAATTATCCACGGTATTGCGGGGGAGGAATTTAAATATCCGACGCGAAGTCGGTGCGTGACGGGAGGTCAATGTTGTAGCGTCGTTTTTTTTTTATTAACACTTTACATTGTTTCTTTCATCGGTGTCACTTCCTCGATAAAGTTAAGTAAACTGTATATTTTATTACTCAGGTTATTTTTAATGGGGTTTCAATCTTGCAATTACATCTGTATTAAATTATTACGTATTTTATAGTTTTGAAGAAAAAAATATGTGTAACATTCTCCTGTAAAAATTTTATTAAAGGTCAGAAACGACCCTACGTAAGAATTTCGATACTTTGAAAATGGATTAGAATTTTGGCCAGGTTTTCTGAAATAAGGGATTTATACTCACGTGAGAAGGAGATGCATGAACTGAGAGCTGAGACCGCGAACGCCGCTGAAAGGCACGGAGGAAGCCTCGCAGATCGCTCTCAGAAGACAGGCTTTACCCGATCGCGAATCGCCGAGAACCGATTCAAGGATTTCATAAATTTCCCATCTGGAAATGAGGCGCCCTTCTGGCGAAAAATACTGGTAAGAGACTGAGCTGGGAGAGGGTAGGAGAAACGATTAACAGGGTCGAGACGAAAGAGAGAATCAACGGATAAGGGAGCTTCGCTTTCGGGCATTGTGCTCTCTTGGCTACGGGCGTTATAAGGCACGCAACAAAAGTAGCCTTGTTAATATGTAAAGGAAGAGGATTTCCTTCTTATCCTGGCGCTGAGCTTTTCGTTCCCTGGTCCTCGAAGCCGAGAGATACTCGCGAGGATTTAGAAAAATCTGGTTGTTACATTGAGATCCGTCCTTCGAATCGTTTATTTCGTCTCGGATGCGACGCAGGCTATAAAAGATACTCATTTCTGAGCGCATAGATTAATATTCGAATGTTCTGTCGTCGTTATATGCTACTGTTCGAAAGTTTTCAGAAGAACGCGTCAAAAGATACGATTTGACGCTTAAAAATAACAAGGCAATGGCAATTTTTGGTGAACGATATTTCGTGTTGACTTGCTGACGTCAATGATTGCTTTACTCTGAAAATTTATGTGATCGTATGTGAGTAGATATGCATCAGATGCACGTTAGATACTGTTAGAGACTGTTTAGACGCAATCGTATTTACAGACATAAGAAATCATTTTTTTAAATAATTAAAACGTCCTAATCGGGGGGTCTTGAAACACCTTTTCTGTGAAAGTATTTTTTACTTTTTTTCTTCGTAGATAGAAAAGTCAAATAAACATTGAAGGCCCTTGAAGAGAAATAAAAAAAGAAAACAATTTGTTCAATATCAAGCTGGTGATTTATTTTGGAATGAACGTGAGCACAGAAAAGAATAACATTGAGCTTACTTTTTGCTCGTACGATTCATCGTACTTGAAATGGAGGTGGTTGAACCGGAGAAAGCGTCGACAAAAATGCCGGAAGCGCATCATCGGGAGAAACAAGGGTTCGCGTACCTTGGTGATCCGTCGCGGGGTCGTCATTTCCATCGACCTCGTCGCCGTGGCTGATCGATCTGTCATAGCGAACGTATGAATCCGTCAAGTAGGAAGCGTTATAGGGCAGGACGTAATTAAATTTCATCACATATCCGATAATCAGGCTGACGTCGACTTCCATGGGTATACCGAGGCCAAGGATTAACTGGAATGGTTTTCAAATACACGAAGGTGTCATCAATCGTTTATAATAACCGCCAATCGAATCCCGTATGCCAGGATTGTTTGCGACTGACATTCAGTCTGGACGAAATTAGACCGGGAAATGCAGGCGTGACGAAATTTGTGAATCTATGCGCCGGCCAATTTAGGGACTTTCGAGCCTGTGAAATATACTCTGTGCATGCAAAACTTTTACATTTGCAGTCTGACCAATGCCTTTTTGCTTTAAAAATGTTTTTATTAGGAGCATAAGAATTATTTGAATTGTTTACAGAAATTATTATTCAGATTTATTCGTCCTGTGTTGTAAGACGCAATGATTTTCATCGTAGTAGAGGAAAACACATAATTAAAAATGATATGAACGAGGCAATGAAATCGTAATGAAGCTTGTCAGTATCTTAAAGTAAAATAATGTATACAGTAAAATTCTGGGGCTTTAGAGCCCCATTCCATACAGGTTATAGAAATGAACATGAGAGGAAATGAGACAGAAAATGAAATCACAGAAACATTTCTGGCCATACATTATACTTTCGGTAAAGAATTTTTTTTCTCGAAAGTGCGTAGGATTTCGAGGGTACTTCCCTTCACCAAGAATGATTGTAATTGACCGCCACAATCGAAAATAATTTTTCCAAAACGATTTGAAATTTTTTTTTCGCCGAAAAATTTAGGCAGTACCCCCTGTCGATATTTCTTAAAAAGTCGTTTTTGATTTTTAGTAACTTTGTTTGACGCCCTACAGAAAAGTTGTCTAATATTTTTCTGTAGGTACCTATGAGTTCTACTTCAAAAAAAGTTTCATTGAAATATATTCTCTATTGTAAGAGTTATGGCTCTTTGAAAATTGGTCCATTTTTATGGGGTTTTTTCTCATTTTGCGGGGTCAAGGACCAACTTTTCGAATATTTTTGCGATTTCTACATATTCTCCACCAAAATACGCGTCGTTTGCTTTTTTAAACATTAAAATCCGTCAATCCATTCAGAAGTTATGATGTTGTAAAGATTCGCATGAAAAGTCGGGCAAAGATTTCTGGCCAGAAATTATATTTTCTGTAAGGAATTTTTGTCTCGAAAACGCGTACGAATTCGGGGGTATGTCTATTGACCAAAAATGATTGTAATTGATCTCTGCAGTAGAAAATAATTTTTCTAGAACGATTTGAAATTTTTTTTTTTCGCCGAAAAATTTTAATATTGCCCCATGTTGATTTCTCTTAAAAATTAGTTTTTGATTTCTCGTAAATTTGTTTGTCGCTGTACGGAAAAGTTGTTTAGTACTTTTGTGCAGGGATCTATGAGCTGTACTTCCACATTAAATTTCTATGAGATACACTCACTATTGCGGGAGTTATGGTCGTTTGAAAATTGGACCACTTTTATAGAGTTTTTCTAACGTTACGGGGTCAAGGAACAACTTCTTCAATATTGTTAGAATTTCTATATATTCTTCGCCAAAATACGCGTTGTTTGCCGTTTGAAACCTTAAAATCCTCTAATCCGTTCAGAAGTTATGATGTTTTGAAGATACGTATGAAATTTCAGTAGAACGTCTAAACGAACGGTTAGACATGAAATTTTCGATAATGAATTTTTTTCTCGAAAATCGTTAGGATTTGAAGGATATGTCTATTCACCAAAAATGATTATTATTAACCCCTGCAACCAAAAATAATTTTTTCAGAGTAATTTGAAATTTTTTAAGATTCGTGACCTTAGCTATCAATGCAACCTTAAATAAAATAAAGTAAATTTCATAGATTTCATAGAACGTCGAATATGGGAACAAACAGAAAAAGCAAAGTCAAAAAGAAAAATTAAAGGGAAAAGTTCTGTCTATCTTTCAATCGAAAGGAAACTACTAGCCCTTCGAGATTTTTCGTCGCCCTATTTTGAAACTTTCAATTAGAAATCACCATAAAATCGAATAGCAACGTCCTACCTGTACTTTCGTCGGAGCTCCGTCCTTTGGTTCCGGAAACACTAGATACCTCTTGGCCCGTTCAGAAGTAGAACAAGTCGAAAGATTGAAAAACACGAATGAAATCCAGATAACAATCACGCGATGCATTTCGAACTCCTGAACGGTTAAACGCGCACGGCTCTCGCCAGAACTTTTAGAGGTTCTAAAACGGGCATAACTAGATGGCAGCAGACGCCGGTGGATGTTAATAGCTGGCAATTAGTTCGTTATCACGGGTTAAGGGAATAATGAACCCGCTTCGATCGCGGTTCCCGTTATACAGTGCTAGGCCATGTACACGGGAGATGGACAGGTTGCATTGAAATTGCAGCCATTGCAGGCTGCCCACGGTGAAATTAATGCGACGATCAGTTCCTATTCATGAACTCGCGGCTCCGTTAACGCGGACGTAAATTTTTCGAATGGCGATTAACATGATTCAACATCGGGCCAATTAATGGACTGGAAGCGTTTTTTCCGCGTTTAAAAGGGCTGGTAATCGAGGGTACGAGGGAAAAAATAAGACGGGGGTGATCGATGGGACGGAATTAGAGTCGGTCTCGAACCCGCCGCGAGGAATGCAAAGTTTGAAATTATTGCAAGACGGTTGAAACTTGTGTTCTGGAATCGTAATGGGAACCTCGCAGGTAAATCCTTTCTACATGAATTTTTATGAAATTGCGGATAAAAATATTGGTCACGGGATTTATAGGATGAATTAGTTTAGTTTAATGATCTCTTTATCCGACGATATGAAGCAGCGAATGGAGTATTTTATTTTAGGTCGGTGCATTATCAATCGATAGAGTATTGAATTTAAATTAATTTTGAAATTTTGCGCCCTTCCTTAACTATTATAAAAAGTTGGCTTATTCATTTTCTTCGTATTGTTTAGACAATAATTTTATTGTAAAAGAATTCTTTCAAGGTTATCATACGATAGTTTCAGATGATTTTGCTATTTCTTACTGTTTTGATTTAGGAAGATTCCCCCCTTAAGAGATTCAGAACCAATTTGAGCCATTCCCATCCACGAGCTAATAAACTAACGAAGATAAGAGAAACTGCCAAGATTTCTGCTCAATTTGAACTGATCTCAAGATTACTGGCGATTCACGTGATCCTAGCGAATTCGGACACGTTTAACTGGCAGACATCGCGACTCCTGTGGCATCCCCCAATCGTATAGTCGCGTTCGCGCGACATTTGCATTATTTTCGTATTACGGTCAGCCCCGTGCGTTTCAGACTGTACGATCATAAATCTTCCTAACAACGGGCCGCGGAGACATCGCAGAAGCGTATACAGGGCGAGCAAAATAAAGTATTACGAACTTCTTTCTCTGAAATCGTTGCAGATGTAGATGTAAAAATTTCTTTGAACCAAATTCGACAAAGAAATTAATTAGTCGATTTACAGTAAGTTTTTTTCACACGTTTCCTTGGAGTACAAAAAGACTCTGCTCGTTAAAACATTATTTTCTTATGTTTTTTCAAAGGCTAGATTCGAATAATATTACAATGTCCGGAATGAAACATGCAAGTTTAATGCTTTAACATTGTTAAGCTTTACAATTACACGTATTTCATTTAAAATGATTGGACTTCCTTGGTCCTTTCAGTATCTAGCTGTAAATAATTAACTCCCACCTGGTTCTATGTAATCTGTTCATAGTAATTTCAGAAATAACGGTTTGCAACACTTTATTTGACCCTCCCTGTAGATTCCACGCGCCGCCGAGCAGCACCATGGGGATTGATTCGAACGAAGACCGATATCGCTGGGAGTTTCCGCGAGTAATCGGTCCAAGGGAGCGAAGGTAAAGAGGAAAAAACGTCCTTGCTGAAGGTGATTATCGTGAAAATTCGTCGCGCGATAAAGGCCCTCCGGCCGCCATTTTGTGAACGTCTTCGCCGTCGAGCAGAGGCTGCTTGATTCCCAGCAGCCTCCGGATATCAGTTGGTAGCCTCGGGAGACTGAGAAAAAGCGCGCGGAAGGGAAAAGAATCTAAGTCGTGGTCGGGATTCGTTGCACATAGATGATTCTTGCTATCCTGAACTCTGTCATCAGTCCAGAGCGAAGGACGATCGTTTGGAATCGTAATTCCAACGCTGATAACCGAATGTCTTCGCGATTCGGTCGTAGTTTCGTGGAGGATTAATGTTAGGCGACGCTGAGACGTTACAAAGGTCTGGTTTATGATTCAAACGACTGAAACGTGAGATTTTTTAGGAAATGTCTGCCAAGAATATCTTATCGCGCCCCGTTTGAGTAATTTAGGATTTAAAACAGGTACGCGAAACTTATTCTGGTCCAAATACCGACTTGCATTTCGCGGTCAATATTTTAAAATCGAACATAAAGATATACTTATTGGTGTATTGATGAAAAAAAATTTCTTCCTCGACTCATTATAACATGGAATTTAATTTTCAGTCCAAAACAAAAACAATATATTAGAAAATTTTCGTGTAGGATTTTTTTCTATTATCTATGAACAGCTAAATCTAAATTTAATTGAGCCAAGAATTACGTAAGAAATGAATTGTAATTGATTTTTTAAGAAACCACAATTCTTTGTGAACGTTGTTTTGGTTACGTTGTTGACGTTTCCAGTCAGTTTGCCTAATTATTTTGCAATTAGTGGAACTTTGTTCCTTCCAGACGAGCGCGAATTATCGTTGAACCCTTCCGTATATACGTTGGTTACATTTCGTCTGCTGGCTTCTGCGGTTCATTCATCTTTTCCCAGTCCAATGAACGCTTTCATAGTCCCAGCTGCAGGTCCGGTTCATTTCAACGACAATTTATCCCCATTTGGACGGGAGAGCCGAAAAAATGGCGCGTTACTTTCTTCCCTGGTAATAGCTCTTCTCTCCGAATCCCGTGACGCGAGAAAAAAAAGGTGGAAATTGTGTATTCCACTGATCCGCGAACGGATCCTCCGCACGAACGCAACATGGAAACCTCATTTTGTAATTTCAGTTAATTTCCATGGGGAATGTTATTATTGGAATCATCTCGGTAGAAATGTTCTACGTTCCGTTCATCCTTTCGATCTTAGACATTACTCTATTAACAAGATCCATCTATTCTTGTAGCTTCATGATAGTACAAAAGCAAGAAAAAATTGGATCATCGAAACCCTTCAAATTACTATAGACTTAGCTGAAAAATTAGGAATGCAGCCACGAATGTAAAATCAAAATCCTAGAACTTAATTATATTCATCACAATAAAATGCACACACACGCTTCAAAGGCATAGGACAGAATAATCAAACGAAGTCTATCGAATTAAACGTCTCTAAATCGTATAAAGACAAAAAATCCCAAGATCACGTAATTTATAAAGATTCCATGACCATAATTCAGATTTATTAAACTTACTTACAAGAGAAAGACGTGAATCATAAGAAATATACTAATCATGTACAGTGAACTTACCAATAAGAGAAAAATTATATATCATTGCCTGGGTACGTTCTCACCAACAAATAACCGGAAATGAAAAAGCAGACATCAGAGAAATAGGGATCTCAGTACCACACCAAGACTTTGTACATTATACGAAAACCAACATCAGAGAGGAATGGAATTGGACGTGGACCATATCTAAAAGGACAAAGATGTACCACGTAATCAGAGATTTCTACCAACAAATCCCAAATAACAGCCTGACAGCCTGAGCAGGAAGGAAAGAATACTAATATCTCGTCTGAGAACAGGCTTATTCCAGACTCACACATAAACACTTCAAAAAGACTGCACCAACTGCCAAAAACTTTTGAACTACAAAGAAATATAGAGGGCGTTCGGCCACCTCCGGGAAAAATTTGAATGGGAGATTCTAGAGGCCAAAGTAAGACAAAAATCAATAATACCAATTTGTTGAGTGAAACTTTGTTATTAACGTTAAAAAAAAAATTACAAATCGTTCTGGAAAAAATATTTTTGGCTGCGGAAATCAATTACAATCATTTTTGGTGAATAGACAAACCACCGAAATCCTACCCAGTTTCGAGAAAAAAATTCTTTACCGAAAATATAATGTCTGACCAGGTATGGATGATTCCCCTGAAATAGCATGGGTATGTTTAAAAAATCATAACTTCTGAACGAATTGGACGATTCTAATGTTTCGAAATGCAAACAACGCGTATTTTAATGGAGAATATGTAGAAATTCTAAAAATATTGGAGAAGTTGTTCCTTAACACCGTAAAGTTAGAAAAACCCCGTAAAAGTAGTTCAATATTCAAACGGCCATAACTCCTACAATAGTCAATGGATTTAATTGAGTGCGCGAAGTAGAGCTCATGGATACCTACAAAAAAGTATTAAACAACATTTCCGTACAGCGCCAAACAAATTTTTAAGAAAAATCGACAGGGGGTAGCTGCTTAAATTGTTTGGCAAATTTAAAAAATTTTAAATCGTTCTGGAAAAATTATTTTTGGTTGCAGGGGCCAATTACAATCATTTTTGGTGAATAGACATACCCCCAAAATCCTACACACCTTCTTGGAAAAAATTCATGTAGGTGAACAAATTTTATTAATCATTTTTAACAATAATTTTATTAATAACTTTTTAACGAAGCTTCAATCAACAAATTGGTATTCTTGATTTTCATTTTATTTTGGCCTCCAGAATCTCTCATTAAAATTTTTCTTAGGGGTGGCCGAACACCCTCTATACAATATCAATCCAGATTATGCCCAGATTTTCCAAAATCACGTAAAGTGCACGATTAAGTACCTAATAACCTGTAATTAATGACCTAAGTGTCGATACGACGTTAAAAAATTTATAAATGTATATTTTTCTTTACATAGAGGCTTCTATTTTAGAATAAAAAAATACGTTCATACACACAGGAAGTTGAAAAGTAAAAGATGAATTCTCGTAATTATCCTTTCTGTGCTTCAACAATTAATTCTTAACTAGATTTGTATAATTATCTTTGCAATATGTCGTGCGTGAAACCGCGCCTTTAGCCAATACGCGTGGTTTGGTGGTGGGGCGCGGTCGGCCTCGCGAAACCTCGCGTTGAGCGGCTGTCTTTTCGCTACGGTTCCGTGATCGTGTCAACATCACCGTTTAAGGA